GACTGTTTCCCCAGGCTTCCGGTTCTGGACTGTTTCCCCAGGCTCCCTGTTCTGGACTGTTTCCCCAGGCTTCCTGTTTTGGACTGTTTCCCCAGGCTTCCTGTTGTGGACAGTTTTCCCCAGGCTTCCTGTTCTGGACTGTTTCCCCAGGCTTCCTGTTTTGGACTGTTTCCCCAGGCTTCCTGTTTTGGACTTTTCCCCAGGCTTCCGGTTCTGGATTGTTTCCCCAGGCTCCCTGTTCTGGACTGTTTCCCCAGGCTTCCTGTTTTGGACTGTTTCCCAAGGCTTCCTGTTTTGGACTGTTTCCCCAGGCTTCCTGTTCTGGACTGTTTCCCCAGGCTTCCTGTTCTGGACTGTTTCCCCAGGTTTCCTGATTTGGACTTTCCCCAGGCTTCCTGTTTTGGACTGTTTCCCCAGGCTCCCTGTTCTGGACTGTTTCCCCAGGCTTCCTGTTTTGGACTGTTTCCCCAGGCTTCCTGTTTTGGACTGTTTCCCCAGGCTTCCTGTTTTGGACTGTTTCCCCAGGCTTCCTGTTTTGGACTGTTTCCCCAGGCTTCCTGTTCTGGACTGTTTCACCAGGCTTCCTGTTTAGGACTGTTTCCCCAGGCTTCCTCTTCTGGATTGTTTCCCGAAGCTTCCTGTTATGGACTGTTTCCCCAGGTTTCCTGTTCTGGACTGTTTCCCCAGGCTTCCTGTTTTGGACAGTTTTCCCCAAGCTTCCTGTTGTGGACTGTTTCCCCAGGCTTCCTGTTGTGGACAGTTTTTACCAGGCTTCCTGTTCTGGACTGTTTCCCCAGGCTTCCTGTTCTGGACTGTTTCCCCAGGCTTCCTGTTTTGGACTGTTTCCCCAGGCTTCCTGTTGTGGACTGTTTCCACAGGTTTCCTGTTCTGGACTGTTTCACCAGGCTTCCTGTTTTGGACTGTTTCCCCAGGCTTCCTGTTTTGGACTGTTTCCCCAGGCTTCCTCTTCTGGACTGTTTCCCGAAGCTTCCTGTTATGGACTGTTTCCCCAGGCTTCAGGTTCTGGACTGTTTCCCCAGGCTCCCTGTTCTTGACTGTTTCCCCAGGCTTCAGGTTCTGGACTGTTTCCCCAGGCTTCCTGTTTTGGACTGTTTCCCCAAGCTTCAGGTTCTGGACTGTTTCCCCAGGCTCCCTGTTCTGGACTGTTTCCCCAGGCTTCCTGTTTTGGACTGTTTCCCCAGACTTCCTGTTTTGGATTGTTTCCCCAGGCTTCCTGTTGTGGACTGTTTCCCCAGGCTTCCTGTTTTGGACTGTTTCCCCAGGCTTCCTGTTTTGGACTGTTTCCCCAGGCTTCCTGTTTTGGACTGTTTCCCCAGGCTTCTTGTTCTGGACTGTTTCACCAGGCTTCCTGTTTTGGACTGTTTCCCCAGGCTTCCTCTTCTGGATTGTTTCCCGAAGCTTCCTGTTATGGACTGTTTCCCCAGGCTTCCTGTTTTGGACTTTTCCCCAGGCTTCCGGTTCTGCACTGTTTCCCCAGGCTCCCTGTTCTGGACTGTTTCCCCAGGCTTCCTGTTTTGGACTGTTTCCCCAGGCTTCCTGTTTTGGACTGTTTCCTCAGACTTCCTGTTCTGGACTGTTTCCCCAGGCTTCCTGTTTTGGACTGTTTCCCCAGGCTTCCTGTTTTGGATTGTTTCCCCAGGCTTCCTGTTGTGGACTGTTTCCCCAGGCTTCCTGTTTTGGACTGTTTCCCCAGGCTTCCTGTTGTGGACTGTTTCCCCAGGCTTCCTGTTGTGGACTGTTTCACCAGGCTTCCTGTTGTGGACTGTTTCCCCAGGCTTCCTGTTGTGGACTGTTTCACCAGACTTCCTGTTTTGGACTGTTTCCCCCAGTCTTTCTCTAATCCCAATTCACTACTAAACAACGTTAAAAAAAGTGTTTGCTGAGGGTCCTGTGGTTCACCCTGGTGTTCACTGCTATAATAAACTAACTTAAAAATCAATCTTTATTCAAATAGATTCATGAGATACATCTTGGGTATCTTTTTTTGTGGAAACCTTACGCCTGCACAGCAGGCTTCTTGAATGCAGAGATGACTAATATATTGGATACTGTTGAAGAAGTGCAGATTTTGAGTGTTGAGTCCCACAGTCTTGATAAGCTATTCCGTTGATAATGGTGAGTGACCAACGCCATGAGAGTGAACAGTTTTTATCAAGGGTGAGGAACTGGACACCTCCAAACCTTCACATTTTCACATGTCTCCAATACATTAGTCGCCTCTGTATTCGACGAAGAAGCTTGCAGCGCACGAGAAACCTTTCAGCAATGAAGGTATCCAAGTGCTGCAAAGTGATGTATCCAAGTGTTGCATATGTGTTGTATCCAAGTGTTGTATATGTGCTGTACCAGTGTTGCACATATGTTGAATCCAATGTTACAAATGTGTTGTATTAAAGTGTTGTACATGTGTTGTACCAGTGTTGTACATGTGTTGTACCCAAGTGTTGTACATTTTTACGTTTACCCGGGTATAAACCATGTGCTTATAGGAACAACAAAATGGGGTGACAATGAACGATATTCTTGTTCTTCATAATAATTAAAAACACGGAAAAAGCTAAATACTGCACAATATCAATGTTTGTTTCCTGAAAGATTGATTCTCGAGTCAGTAATTTAAATGCAAAGGATCAAGTTGAAGCTGTGAAACTTGTAAGAAATAACTTGAAACAGTGAGACCTATGATGGCAACACCTGTGCAAACATTAAACATATAATTATTGAAGAGCAAGAGCATGTGTAAGTTCCCTTTGTTGATATTGTTGTGTTTAATATATCTTGCTCACCCATGTACGTAACGGCTTTCTAACATATATATATATATATATATATATATATATATATATATATATATATATATATATATATATATATATATATATATATAATATATAAAGATATAAAGGATCTGTTCACTTATGATATAAAGCTTATCCATATTTATGTTTTTTCTTGAATGTGTATATAACCTTTAAATGTGGAACTTATGTAAAACATTGTTGCTTCTGTATGAACCACCGTTGTCTCATCTTATAAATTTCTGTGTCAGTCTGTACTCCATATAAGTGTATGTTTGTCTATATTGTCAATATTCTGCACTTATCATACGTAGTATGTTATACAGATAAATTAACTGATCATGGAACGGATGGGGTTTTGAACCCATGGCAAGCGAGTCCTAAAACTGACAGGCCAGTGCGTTACCCACTCGGCCAGCTGGCCTGTGAGTTTTAGGACTCACTTGCCATAGGTTCAAACCCATCCCGTTCCGTGATTTGTTTACGATCGTATTACTACGATTTCATGAGTCATAAATTAACTGATATAGTGTTCATACATTGTAAAAACTTAAGCATTATTGTTGCATATAATTTAAAAAATTCTTAACTTACTTCACTAATTTCCAAGCAGCTCATTGTCTGTCATTCGTTTTAATCCCAACTCTTCGTCTCTGTCTGTCCCTCTGTCTCTGTCACTCTCGTCCACGCTAGGTTACCTGCATCCTGCCTCGCTTCATCTTCTTTAACAGTCACTTCCCATCTCTCCTGCTGCTTCCTCAGTGTTACCTTCCTTCCTCCTCCTTTTTCTTTTCTCCCCTTCTCTTTTTTCTTCCTCTCATTATAATTATCACTTGCACTACAGTCAGTTTACTTTCATAAACATCAGTTCTTGTTCTCTCTTCTCCCGTAGCATACCTCCCCTAGTATTATCCCTCTCCCCTTCGTATACTCTCCCCTCGTATACTCTCCACTCGTATGCTCTTCCATTCTATGTTCTCTCCTTGTATGATCTTCCTTTGTATGTTCTATCCTTGTATGATCTTCCTTTGTGTGCTCGTATGTTCTTTCATCGTTCATTCATCATTGTCTGACTTCCTTTCCCAGTGCCACTTGTTCACGTCCTGCCCATCAGGCACTCCTTCAGCTATCATTAACAACTAACCTCCCCCCCCCCAACAATCAGTCTTCACCCCCATCTCAAGCCCCGCACTCCTCACTCCTCACGGTGTTCTCTTAACGTCACCAGAGTTATCATATTTTTGCTCTTCCTACATTTTATATCTTACTTATAACCTTTACTGAGGTCCCAAACTTGTACAAATTATTAAACATACATCGGAATTTATATTTAAAAGACAGAAACATTAATAAGAAAAGTTTTAGATAGTATAATTTTTGTTAGCACACCGGCCGTAGGGTGATCTCACAATGAGGAAAACACTTCCACTGCCATTCATTCAATCACTGTATTGCCAGAAGGGCACTGACCTCACAGTTCAGGTGACCCTCCAAACAGTAACATCCCCACCCCTCCTACAGAGTGCAAGCAATATACTTCCCACCTTCAGGACTAAAGTCCGGCTAGCCAGTTTCCCCTGAATACCTTCACAAGTATATAAATGCAACAGCTAGGTCACGTCATTCGCTTGAAAATTAGGTTATGAGCCCAGGAACTAGAGCTAAACCCCACACTCAGCTATATAAATACGCATATATACCGGTCATATGACCACTAAACCCTCTGCTTAACACAAATAGTCGTATTAGCGCGGCTACCTAAACTTTCACACTATATTTAATGTCATAAGTTCAGCAACCTTGACTGGAGATCTACCTGTCTCGCTATTTCATGCAGTCCTCTCATTCATGACTTGCTGTCTTAATCTCAAAATGTTTATCGCTTTTCCTGTTTTTCTGTCGCTCTACAGCTGACAGTGTTTGAGTCTGTTAATCTATGAAAATTGTTCGTGTCAGTCGCTTTTTTTTCATATATTTTTGCTGTATACAAGAAGGTTAATCGTGTTCTCTGGTGCCTCCTTGTATAAGTTCACCTTATACAAGGAGGTCATTCTTATAATCCACCGCCTCCTTTTATAAATTTACCTTATACAATGTGGGTGATTATGCCATCCGCCTCTCACCTGAGGAGTGCCTAGCCAGGCTGTGAAGGGTGACTCACGTCTTGTTATCTCTCGTAAGGTTCACGAGTGTGGGTAAGTGATCCCCAGAGTCTAGCATGGGTGCCCACCAAACCTGAGATGTGAGTGCCTCCCCGCCCTAGCAGCAGTCACCGCGGGGTGTTCTTCAGGGTCAGTTCCCACTCCTGAATCTGTTCCACTCAAGCTTCACCCTCTTAGTTTACCCGTAACAACAAACTAATAACCTCTTGCAAACTAACTGTCCATTTTAACCTCTAACAAGCTGGTAGAACAGAGTAGATCTAGACTGTCAAGTGTAGACCTGAGTGTCTTCTTAAATATGATGATGGTGGTGGTGCAAATATCTTACATTAAATATTTAACTTACACAAATTTATTTATAGTATGGGTGTACTCGTGGGAGAGTCTGCAACTTCGTACAAATTCATTACTTATACCAAGATAAGCTGCCTTTTGTGATATATATATATAATGACACGAAACTTGGAGTACAAGTGCACTCCGCACCTCACTTTCCTCTTACTGTGTTTTCCAATTAACTCCGCTGTATTCTTTCTGTATCTGGATACACACACAAAAAAAAACTAAAAAGTGACTTAGTTTTCTATTCGTAGTTGACAGTTCATGGCTAGACGCCCAGCATCGGGTACCTGGTACCAAGGTGACCTTATCCACTTTCCATAATTATCTTTCATCTCATTGCTCTTTTGCAAGACGTGTAATTGCAGCCGTAATCCTCTCTTTCTTATTTGTTACATAGCACGACATCAGACAAACGAGGTGACTGATAACTTCACAATTACCAATATATTAATAACATATTTTATTAATTTCGTGTTCTACTTTGTTGTCCACAGCCACGAGTAAGTAATGAGGTGACGAGTCTTCAGACCTACTAGCAGACTGCTGCAGACCTCACATCAGCGCTATAAACGCCTCTCTAGCTTCTACACCAAAATTAATAACATGAAGATCGTGACGGCAAGCGTCGTCTTCAAGAACACCAGTAGCTTCGTCACAACCAGAGGCAGACAACAGATGAAAAATAAACTTGTTGCAAGAGTGATATATCAACTTAAAACTTATGAAGAGACTGAAACACTTCACACACTTCCTGAAAAAAAATTCAACATTCGCAACATATGACCTACTACATTAATATCAACAATGAAATTAGGCAATAACTCTCACGTTTATCCACGGATATCCCAGCATCCAAAGTTTACAGTGTTGTACAATTGCTGTCTTATTTCACACTGAATAATACTGAAATACCACTTATCATTTTGTACACTTTAAATTTACCGTTTATAAATTATGTTGCGATTAAAATTCAATAATGCTATTTATAATGAACTGTTTTGGTAATTTGTTACTGGTAATAACACTCCATGCTTTAGTTATAATTAACCTAATTTCAAATTAGGTATTAATATATATATATTTTTTTTAAAGGAAAAAATATGTCTATTCATCTTCTTTTTACAATGCAATATATTCTAAACCTATAAAAACTAACAAAGATTTTTACATATATTTCAATGAAAAAAATCCATTTCAGCGATTATTTTCATGAATATATAGTATATTGTATATTAATTTATATAAGAGACCTTTTAATCCTTTTTCATATATAGCGAGAATTCTTCGGTTACACAACTATTTACTGTAATTTTATTACTACTAACTTGTATTATTCTTTGGCATTTTTAGTAATTAATATTATATATATATATAATATATATTATATATATATATATATATATATAATATATATATATATAATTATATATAATACATAAGGTTGCTTCTGAATTTAAGCATTAAGCAATTTTGTTATCTGCTTAAAAAATGTGTGTATAAATGGCAGTATAGCGGAGTATGGTGACCACTCATCCTTAATAAACTGTTGTCACACCCAGCCTTCCTGTCACCTCCCTCCTCTCCTGTGTCTAGTGTCACGGTCAAACTTTTATTTATTGTCACACACACACCATACACCACCACACACACACACACAACCACACACACACTCACACACACCACACAGACACACACACACACCACACACATCACACTACACACTCACAGTAAGAAGTCATTAATTCAAAAGAAAGGGCTTAAATAAGGTTCACCTGCACCTCCCTTCATTTGAACAGAAATAACTAAATGAGGAAGCAAAGAAATATAAATTGGAGAGTGACACAAAGAGAGCAGAATAACCACAGGAGATGCTACCTGGTCACCCCTCCCCTCATAACATGCTACCTGGTCACCCCTCCCCTCATAACATGCTACCTGGTCACCCCTCCCCTCATAACATGCTACCTGGTCACCCCTCCCCTCATAACATGCTACTGGTCACCCCTCCCTCATAACATGCTACCTGGTCACCCCTCCCCTCATAACATGCTACTGGTCACCCTCCCCTCATAACATGCTACCTGGTCACCCCTCCCCTCATAACATGCTACCTGGTCAACCCTCCCCTCATAACATGCTACCTGTTCACCCCTCCCCTCAATAACATGTACCTGGTCACCCCTCCACTCATAACATGCTACTGGTCACCCCTCCCTTCATAACATGCTACCTGGTCACCCTCCCCTCATAACATGCTACCTGGTCACCCCTCCCTTCATAACATGCTACCTGGTCACCCCTCCCCTCATAACATGCTACCTGGTGCTCCCCTCCCCTCATACATGCTACCTGGTCACCCCTCCCCTCATAACATGCTACTGGTCACCCCTCCCCTCATAACATGCTACCTGGTCACCCCCCCTTTAAACATGCTACCTGGTCACCCCTCCCCTCATAACACTGCTACCCCTGGTCACCCCTCCCCTCATAACATGCTACCTGGTCACCCTCCCCTCATAACATGCTACTGGTCACCCCTCCCCTCTTTAACATGCTACCTGGATCACCCTCCCCTCATAACATGCTACCTGGTCACCCCTCCCCTCATAACATGCTACCTGGTCACCCCTCCCCTCATAATATGCTACCTGGTCACCCCCTCCCCTCATAACATGCTACCTGGTTACCCCCTCCCCTCATAACATGCTACCTGGTCACCCCGTCCACTTGTAACATGCTACCTGGTCACCCCTTCCCTCATAACATGCTACCTGGTCACCCCGTCCCCTTATAACATGCTACCTGGTCACCCCGTCCACTTGTGACATGCTACCTGGTCACCCCTCCCCTCATAACATGCTACCTGGTCACCCCTCCCCTCATAACATGCTACCTGGTCACCCCTCCCCTCATAACATGCTACATGGTCACCCCTCCCCTCATAACATACTATATGATCACCCCTCCCCTCATAACATGCTACCTGGTCACCCCTCCCCTCATAACATGCTACATGGCCACCCTCCCCTCATAACATGCTACCTGGTCACCCCTCCTCTCGTAACATGCTACCTGGTCATCCCCTCCCCTCATAACATGCTACTGGTCACCCTCCCCTCATAACATGCTCCTGATCATTCCCTCCCCTCATAACATGGTACCTGGTCACCCCTCCCCTCATAACATGCTATATGGTACATCCCCTCCCCTCATAACATCTATTGATCACCCTCCCCTCAGAACATGCTACCTGGTCACCCCTCCCCTCATAACATGCTACCTGGTCACCCCTCCCCTCATAACATGCTACCTGGTCACCCCTCCCCTCATAACATGCTACCTTGTCTCCCGCTTTCCTCATAACATGCTACCTGGTCTTCCCTTCATCTCATAACATGCTACCTGGTCATCCCTCCTCATAACATGCTACCTGGTCACCTCTCCCCTCATAACATGCTACCTGGTCACCCCTCTCCTCATAACATGCTACCTGGTCACCCCTCCCCTTATAACATGCTACCTGGTCACCCCCTCCTCTCATAACATGCACCTGGTCTTCCCCCCTCATAACATGGTACCTGGTCACCCCTCCCCTCATAACATGGTACCTGGTCACCCCTCCCCTCATAACATGGTACCTGGTCACCCCTCCTCTCGTAACATGCTACCTGTTCACCCCTCCCCTCATAACATGCTACCTGGTCACCCTATCCTCTCGTAACATGCTATCAGGTCTTCCCTTCCCTCATAACATGCTACCTGGTCACCCCTCCCCTCATAACATGCTACCTGGTCACCCCCTCCTCTCGTAACATGCTATCTGGTCACCCCTCCCCTCATAACATGCTACCTAGTCTTCCCCTCCCCTCATAACATGCTAGCTGATCACCCCTTCTCTCATAACATGCTACCTGGTCTTACCTTTCCCTCATATCATGCTACCTGGTCTCCCCCTTCCCTCATAACATGCTACCTGGTCTCCCCTTCCTTCAATCATGCTACCTGGTCTCCCCCTTCCTTCATATCATGCTACCTGGTCTCCCCCTTCCTTCATATCATGCTACCTGGTCTCCCCCTTCCTTCATATCATGCTACCTGGTCTCCCCCTTCCTTCACATCATGCTACCTGGTCTCCCCATTCCCTCATATCATGCTACCTGGTCTCCCCCTTCCTTCATATCATGCTACCTGGTCTCCCCCTTCCTTCATATCATGCTACCTGGTCTCCCCTTCCTTCATATCATGCTACCTGGTCTTCCCCTTCCTTCATATCATGCTACCTGGTCTCCCCCTTCCTTCATATCATGCTACCTGGTCTCCTCCTTCCTTCATATCATGCTACCTGGTCTCCCCCTTCCTTCATATCATGCTACCTGGTCTCCCCCTTCCTTCATATCATGCTACCTGGTCTCCCCCTTCCTTCACATCATGCTACCTGGTCTCCCCCTTCCTTCATATCATGCTACCTGGTCTCCCCCTTCCTTCATATCATGCTACCTGGTCTCCCCATTCCCTCATATCATGCTACCTGGTCTCCCCCTTCCTTCCTATCATGCTACCTGGTCTCCCCATTCCCTCAATCATGCTACCTGGTCTCCCCCTTCCTTATATCATGCTACCTGGTCTCCCCCTTCCTTCATTATCATGCTACCTGGTCTCCCCATTCCCTTCATATCATGCTACCTGGTCTCCCCCTTCCTTCCTATCATGCTAACCTGGTCTCCCCATTCCCTCATATCATGCTACCTGGTCTCCCCCTTCCTTCATATCATGCTACTGGTCCCCCCTTCTTCATATCATGCTACCTGGTCTCCCCCTTCCTTATATCATGCTACCTGGTCTCCCCCTTCCTTCATATCATGCTACCTGGTCCCTCCGCCCTCTCCTTCATATCATGCTACCTGGTCTCCCCCATTCCTCCACTCATATCATGCTACCTGGTCACCCCTTCCTTCATATCATGCTACCTGGTCTCCCCATTCCCTCATATCATGCTACCTGGTCTCCCCCTTCCTTCATATCATGCTACCTGGTCTCCCCCTTCCTTCATATCATGCTACCTGGTCTCCCCCTTCCTTCATATCATGCTACCTGGTCTCCCCTTCCTCATATCATGCTACCTGGTTTCCCCCTTCCTTCATATCATGCTACCTGGTCTCCCCCTTCCTTCATATCATGCTACCTGGTCTCCCCTTCCTTCATATCATGCTACCTGGTCTCCCCCTTCCTTCATATCATGCTACCTGGTCTCCCCCTTCCTTCATATCATGCTACCTGGTCTCCCCATACCCTCATATCATGATACATTATCCAAGCTACTGTTTCAAGTTATATTATTCACTGTCTCAGTCCGACCTGCTGCTAAGTTTCCTCACTGATTACCTGATCGACCAGGTTATTGGAACTTGCTACCCCTGGTCGATCTGAAGACTTACCTTTTCGTCCAACGATATATATATTTTTTATGCCCTGGCTGAAGGTTAAAGAATCTTAGATCTCTGATTCTAACCCAGTGTTATCGTAGTGTAATTATAACACCCAAGATTTTTACTGGCTTGAGAGTTTCGGCTCACAACAGAGGAATCAGAGTTCAATCCTGGTCTCGAGAGCTTTGCAGACTGTTGTGGGTCACATCTTGGAGAAGAGGATCTCCGGACAGCAGTGCAAATAGGTCACATTGGCTTTCTTGGATTATCCTGGGTTACTTACCCTTCGAAATAATCCAAATAAAGTCTTCTTTCATTTCCTACTGTTGAAGTAGCGAGTTTCTTGTTTTTGAGTTAAAAACTTGACAAAATAGTTTTAATGTTTAGATTATGTGATATTTCTAGTCTTCGTTCCAAAGAGCATAGGCCGAGCAAAAGTTCTATGTATATTTTTCTAAATCTGGTATGTCGCCTGCCTTGACAAATGGGAGCACGGAACAATAATATAACTTAGACATCAATAGGGTCTTGAGGCATGTCATCATTAGTGTTACATCCCGTGTTCAGAAAGTTTTCCGTTCCCACTGCACCAATTCTCAGTCTTTATTTAACCGTTTAAGTTCTCTAAAATTAAGTCATCTACACTGTTACTCCAACGACCTTTGAAGGCATTCCTAATCCCATGAAAAGATCAAATTACCTCCTTGTATTAAGTACTAGAATTTAGTTCTCCTTCACAATGACTTTACTGACATCTGATAACAGATGCTCCGCATTTCCCACTAAGACAATTTTCAGGCTCATTTTAGTTTCATTTGCGAAGGTTAGCATAAAGCTGAGTAGCCTTCCAAGAATATTTGGTGGAGAGCAGCTGAGGAAGAACTGCCTTC